GTCGTGGCAGAGGCGTTCGGTCAGGAGTCGTCGAGGAAAAAACTGGCCCCTGTGTATAGCATCAGGTTAGAGATGAGAACATTTTGAGGGTTTATGCATTAATGTGCGAGATTGGCAAGCAGGTCGTACCGGCTGATGGGTCGGCAGTGGTCGGTCCTGTGCGAAAGGGGCGAGAGCAGCGTCGAAACCACAAAGGTGCGGAAGACGAAGCGAATACGCGCAAAAGGGACAGCAGTTCTAACGCGTGTGTGCTGTATGAGATGGTTCAAGATCGAGGCTGAAGTGAATAATAGGCGGATGGGGCGTGGACATGAACGTGTGTGTATGTGTGGTTTGGTATTGTGTTTGTTCAGAGCTGGAGGAGGGTTGATCGATTGATTGATGGGCGGCGATTCGAGTCAGGGCCCAAATGCCTCAGCCCCGTCGAGGATTTCGAAGATGCACGCCGAGGACTCGAGACGAAGAGGATATTGGACCAGCTCCAACGTGCGAAATAAAGGAAGGGAGGAGATGGCGGACGTAAGAAACCTACAGAAGACGAAGAGAAGGGTGTGACCAATTCTCACCGTGCCTGATGGGAGCGAGAGGCTGGGTGGACGGACGGGGGTCAGATGAAGAAGGCGGAGCAGCTGGTTTTTTGCAGTGCTGGTTGCGCGCTCGCTTCGCTTCAGTGCCCAGAATTTCGCACCGGCCTGGCTTAGGTAGGCGCTGTACTGCCTAGCATTCATTGGCGAAGCTGCCTGAGGCTGCAGCACACTAAGCACTGACGAGAGCGGGACCAGCTGGAACCGTGCTGTAATTCCAGTCTCGGGATTGGGAGCCGCTGTCCCCCAAATGTCTCGCGACCACCTCCCTAACGAACTTTTACCGAGAACTTCAATGTAAAGGCACATACTACATACCAACAGCGTACTATCTATGCTGGGAGTTCACATGGGCATTTAAAACCAGGCCATTATTGCTCTCCAACGCGCAGACTCAAATCATACAACATGACTGTATTTCCATTCCATGTCACAAGAGATCCCACTTTTGGTTTTCCATAGTCAATTCCCTCAGAGGCGGGAGAGTGCATAGAGGAAGGATTTTACCAAAGCACGAGACATGCTCAGACTGACCGACTTAATGGCAAACTTCCTTCCTTGCTGAGGTGCCATATGGCTGGAGGCGAAAACGGAGGCCGGGACGGGAAGGGGCAAATTCGAGAAGCTGCGGGGTGGAGAGAACTGTTGGAACTCGACACGCAGGAGGCCAGAACTTGAAGTCCCACCAGATGCAGCACGCGATGGCCAGCATGCCCTTGATGGCCAGCCAGAGCTTGCCCTTGTCAAACAATAGAGAAGAAACCAAATTTTGCTGTGACCAATCCGGGGCCCGCCGCCGTTTCTTGTCTTGTGTCGTAGCAGCTATCTCATTGTTTCTTTCATGCCTTCCAGGTCCAAACACACACGTGGGGAGCCGTCGGTCGAGCCGTTGGGGTAGCAAAGAAACTCGGCCAAGGGTTGTCGACAAAGCGGTTCTTAGTCCAGCGTCTCGTGGCGACCGCCGGACGAACTCTTTTTAGGCCGTAATCACAACTCACACGCTGTGCGTTGGTGCCTCTTCCGCGTGGGCATCGGTTGACCGCATCATTCGACAATCACAACGGGTCTTCGTTTCTCGCGGCGCACGAGTATCGGTCCCAGCACACCACCTTTTCGGCTTACCAATGAGCCAATGCACCTGAAGCTTGGCTGTCTGGCCCCGTTGCCCGCCACTTCCCAGATCGACTTCCTCTCACAAACCCCCCAAGTCCAGTCCCTGTCTATCACACCTGTCCAGGAAGTCAGATACAAACAGCGACCCCGCTTCTTCTTGAAAGACGTTGAGAGATCGAGAAGAGGTGCCTTGGCGGTTTCGCCCATGTCTTACTGCTGAAGAAGCAAACGCGCATCTGGTTGATTTCCCAGCGCCGATCTCCGCTTTGGAGCACTTTAACCTCGTTACGCGTGGGGTCGTGCGCATCATGCCTCCTGCCGTGAACAGAACGCTCAATGGTTGGAGCGTTGGGGCTTGAGAAGCGGAGCAGGGTCGATGCGGGCAACCCTGGTCAGTCAAGCCAGAACGGGGAGGAGGGGAACTTGGGAACTTGGGAAAGGGAGGGTCGACAAGGCCATCCCCCACCGACCTTCTTGACTGACGTTCCGGCCCAAAGCCAACCCACCCAGCCAGACCCTGGGCAGTCCATCGCGCCACGCCCTTTTAGCTCCTGCACAGAGCAAACCCAGCCAACCAGTCTCCCCGTCCACCACGAGAGTTCGTGGAAGGGAAAGATAGCAAGCAGTTTGCTGGTGTGAGCAGACGCGGATTAAGAGCACCACAGAGATCAGGATGGCCACATCTCTGCACACACCAGCACAGTGCATCCCTGCTTGTTTGCCTATCACGTCTGAGTCGATTTCGGGGATTGCGTTTTATGTGTGACCCTCCGCAACCAACATCTCAGCTGGCCGTCGACCAAAGACTCATTTCATTTTAGGTCCTCAGCTCAGGGTGCGGTCACCAGCTCGGAGCTCTGACGACGTGGCTGAGAAGGATCCAGCGCCGTGGCTTTCTCAGGCTTGTCAGGACAAATCCGAGGCCCCGCAAAAGGCCCCGAGGCGCCTGAAGCATTTGCAAAACCGACGTTACTAATGTCTTTTGAGCCGCAACACGAAGGAGACATTTTCTTGGCCTCAGCTGTCCCGGTTTTGTCACCGCCTTCCGCCGTCTCTTATGATCCGTTTTCAGCTTCAACATACCTCACTAGCCTGTCCCGGACAGAATTCTCCATCTTCTTCACTCAGACGATGAGACGCTCAACTGCCACCAAACAAACCTGGAAAACCACGTCCCGTACGGCGTTGCGACCCGGTGAAAGGACCTTTCCTTGAGCGCAATGGGCCATCGGTCATTATCATACTTTAACTTACCATCCATGCGCCTCTACACTTTCCCGGGTGGAACAGACAGAGAGATCCGAGGCTCTGAAGCATACCGAACATGGAGCTCGGCTTTGTTTCGCACAACACCTAACCAACAGATGCGAATACCTCTTTTCGAAAATCGCTAGAAAATATGCAATAATTTACGTTGGATGGCGGCATTGGCAAAACAGCTTGAATTAGAAACATGTTCACCTGAATGTGAACCTTGTGGAGGGCGGCAACCGACAGGCTAATTTTGCCGTCCCTGACGGCCCAGAACCCCCTGCATTGCTTGTCAAATGTGTTTAACGAATTGGAATTCTCAGGGTTAGGTGAAATCATTGGCGGCTCTCATGGCCCACTCACCGAAAGTATACAGGCATCAGACAGCCTGCAATGGACTAGGAATTGACGGCTTGTGTTACTTAAGCTGGCCAAGATTCACTCCTGGTTCATTCCTGAGAATTGGACATCAATTGTGCACTGTGTCTGTCGTATTTTGCGCGGCGAGTGCGTTCTTTCGTTCCGACGCCTTGATAGGTGGTGCCCGCGGCTATTTTCCCAGTGGCGATGTTACACTCTATATACTATGGACCCTACAACTCCGCACTTCTTGATTTTGGTGGTGAGCGACACATACCGATTGACTGAGAAATGGTGCCACTGGCAATGCCGATCGGTGACCGTCCCGGCGGCGCGGCCCTGCCCGCTGATGATTGAGTAGTGTGCACCGTTGTTGAGTTCCATGATCTGGGTTTCCCAAAACTATTTCACATTGAGACGTCGTTAGCTCCATGTCTGTGAATGAGCGGACACTTGTGTTCAGTACTGCCCAATTTTTTTTTTAAAAAAAAAAACCACAGATCATCGTTACGCTCGGTCGTGGGCCCGCCTGCTCGGGCGCGCTATCCAAGGGGATCCGACCGCAGAACCAAGGTCAGTCGCTCCCGATTTTCTCAGGAAAACGGCAAAGCAGGCAAGCGAGATCGGCGCATGCGTTTCCTTTAGACAGATGTGCCGAATTTCCCTCCTGGTCCTCCTTTGAGCTGCAGCACCCTTCGAGAAGAAGAATACAGAACATAGGAAATTCTCCCCCAAACTCCGCCAAATCACAGTTCCGCGAATTTGGTAGACAGGCAAGGAGGATGATGAAACGAATGCAGTCTGGCTGCCAGTCGTCACACACACACGCACGCACACACACACACACACACACATACACATAACACGCACGCCTCCTCCTCTCCCTTGGCCGCGGCTAGCCACAATCAACCTTCAGCAAGAGTTAAAGTTTTTGCTTCTTCTCAGCCCAGTGGCACTGGCAGATGGAAATCTGCGGGAAGCGCGTGGCGATCCAATCATGTTCGTCACCACCCTGTTCTGAATCCTTCTAAATCGGGACTGCTGTGACAACATCGATAGCCGCCAAAACGAAGAGACGAGAAGAAGAAAAACATGAAAAGGAGTAAATCCTATTCTCTTTGACGCCTCCCAACCATTCTCTATTGGCGGCGAAGCAATTCCATACCTGAGACACGCGCGCTCCCTGATTCTTGTCATCGTCCTCTGACAGGTGGTTCCTGAAGTATATTGCAGGGCAGGGGGGTTCGGCGGCAAAGTCGTTGCAAAAGGGGGACTGAGTGCGGGAGTGAGTGAATGAGTACGCGGGAAATGAAATTATCCCTGGAGTTTGACTGCTAAAAAAGAAATGGATGCCCTTCAACTAAAATAAACTCCAAGAGATTTTACCTATCCCCCTTCAAACATAAGGCTCTCAGTATAAAAGAAAGGGGACGATCTACAGATACTCTTGTACTATAATAAACCCCGTTGAACGCTGCTCCCGAATAAAAACGGTAAAAAATACAGCGCTTGCGCCATACCATCTTCACTCGCTTTCCTGACCTATCTAAACTGTGCTTACTTACATATGTCAAAACAAGTTTCCCACAACGAAACAAACAACTGACTTATTACTCCCTCACAGGAGAGAACCAAAACAAGGATATGAAAAAGAGACAAATGGAAAAAATGTATTTATGGTGCAATTATTTGCTCCTCCGCCTGGGGTCGAACCAGGAGCCTCCAGATTAACAGTCTGACGCGCTAGCCAATTGCGCCACGGAGGATTGAACTGGTTGATCCAGCTTTTGATGAGTCAATGCCCCGGTAACAAGGTTCCAATGGGTACAGGCTGCACCTGCCATTTTCTATATTTGTTTGCTATTATTACTCTCTACCCGGAAAGACACGATTCTGAGTTTTGAATTAAGTTTCTGTCCCTCCCATTGCAAACATTGATCACTCTTATAATCTCAAATTAGTATGAGACGTTCTTCTGTGTTTTGATATCTACTCTATTAATGACAAACTTTGAAATTACTTGTAACAGATTTATATAGATGGACTCGAGGAGGGTATTCTGCATATATACACCACGTACAGTTTTGGTCTCCGTTCTGGTCTGCGTTTGCAGACGGGCGATGTAATACAAAACAAAAAAGCCCAGATCAAAAACATGAAAGCCACCCCTTAAAACACCAGTACTAATATTCCCCCGTCGTTAACGCCGTATAGATACTCAGTCCTTCAACCAACGACTTCCTCCCCTTAGAACAGGACCGACCTCCGCGGTCTCTTCTTGAACCCGCCATCAATACCCTTCTCATGGCTATCGAGTCTGTTAAGGGTCTCAGTCTTGGACAGCACCAGCTCTAGAAGCTCTTTCCTTTTGATGAGGTCCAGATGCCTTCTGATTCTGGGATCTTCGCGAGCGAATTTCTCGATGCCGCCGGCGTGCATCTGCTCGCCGAGCTTCGACTCCACTTCGCGGGGAAACCTGGCGTAGAAATCGTTGAGCATTTCTACATTCAGGAACAAGACGGCGGTCTGGGTCAGCTTGGTAGCCACGGCGTCGAGGAATATTTCAGGGCAGTAGTATTTGTTTTCCATGGCTTTGCACTGGCGGGACTTGACGGCCACCATCCGCATGTTGATGATGTCAGCGCGGTCTCGGAGGAAAACTGCTTCACGTCCTATTCATGCACATTAATTTTTGCCATATAAAAATCTTCATGGGGAACATCTCACCTCGGGCAAGAAGTGCGGCACTAAATCCGCCTGCACCATTCCTGCTCTCCCCTTCAATGATGATTTCGCCTTTTCGTGCCTTGTCGACGAAGCTCATGACTTCCTTCAGCTTTTTCTTGCCGCCGACGGCGTTTTCCAGGTTCTTCATCGCAGTTTGGCACTGATCAAGTTCCCCCTTGAGCACGCCACTGACATGGTCTCGTCCTTGGTTCCACTCCTGTTGTTGAATATCGACCTCGTACTTGTACGGCTTGAGCGAAAACTCGATCCCGTCGCTAGTAGTATAAGCACGATCGTCAAGAACGGTCGCGGCTGCCTCACTGATAACCTGACGGACTGAAGGGTGCTTGGCAAAGGCGGACTTGTCGATCAGTTTGTCCACATTGGCTTGCACGGCTGCCGCAACTACAGTGGTTGCCAGACGGCCAACCCCAAGTCTTGTCAGCGCAGAAGATGCCGTGTCAAGCTGCAGATGCCAGTAGGGAGACTTTGGGTCAGCCTTGGGGAGATCGGCGATGCTATCGGGCTCATTGGGGGCTGTGTAAAGATCCTCAATAGGCTTGTTCCAATACCTTGCAGCAAGCTGATCCAGCACCCGTTGATCCAGTGCGCTCTTTAGCAGCTCTTGCATCTGAGGGCGGCCAAAGGACGACGCAAACTTGTGAAAGAGGTGCTTGAAATCATCCAGACTTTCGGCCAGGTAGGCCTCTGCAGTCATGGGCTCTTCGTTGTATTGAACCTTGAACTGATAAGTAGTCTCCTCGAGCTCCCGCTTGATGGATTCCGTCGTGGATTGCAGTTTGGAAGACATCTGTTGCTCCAGGACCTGCATCAGCTTTTTCCGTAATGTGACGGTACCGATGTTAACATTGGCCTCAGGTCCAAACTGAGCCGAGTGTGAATTAAAGTAAGCCTTCTCATTGCGACTGATAATGGCCAGCAGGTTTCCGGTGTCCCTCTTAAAAAGCCCCGATTGTGAAGGCAGCTTGGAGATCACACCGACATAGCCTAGTCGGAGAGGATATTGCTTGTCGGTGAGAATAGCCACACCCTTCTCCGCGTCAACCAAGTCCATCTTGGTAATGACACCGATCGTCCGTTCTCCACGGGGGTCGACTCTGCGACTGGCCTGCAAAGCAGTAGAGTTGGCGAGATCCACATCCGCAGCAGAAATAGCTAAGATAATGTTGGGGCCCCGAATATACTTGTCGCAGAGTTCTGATATCTTCCGTTTGAGCTCACGGGGCTGGTTTTCTCCAGCAACCTGAATATAGCCCGGAAGATCAATCAGAGACAGATCCGGGACCCTGGGCGAGTGTATTATAAGACGGATAGGGTCGTCCGAGACACAGTCTGTGTCCGATACGGACATGTTGAGCTCGGCCAGGTTCTTTTGGATCAAAGAGAAGTCGGTGATCTTATTGAGACCGAGATCGGGGAATTCACCGTAATCGACTCTGGCATCAGGATCGTTCACAAGCGTGAGCTCAATAGGTCGGCGTGTAATCATATTGTTGCCTTTGGGCAAAAACTCATGGCCCACGATGGCCTCCAGAACGGAGCTCTTCCCAGACGACTGGGAGCCGATAACGACAATGGATGGCAAGGTAACGGCGCTCGACTGTCCGACCTTCTGCAAGAGATTCCGGATCTCGATCATCATCTTGGTGATGTACATCATGTGGTCGTCCTTGGAGATCTCTTCAGGGGTTCGGTCGTCGTGATCGGCGGCTTGGTCGTAGCCATATGCTGCTGCAGATGCCGAAGCGGCTGCCGCAGCACCAACGCGGGCTTGTTTGGCTTGTTCTGGTCCGCCTCCGCCTCCGCCTCCGCCTCCGCCTCCCCCTCCAGAACCATTTTTGCCATCGCCGGCTTCCCCCTCGCCCCGCATTATCCTATCCAGCCATTCTGGCATTTCAATCTGCTCTTTGGTGTTGGCCCAGCCACGTTTCGTCTGCTCGGCGATGTCCTTTGCGTTTCCCCAGATGCCCGTGGCGGTGGTTGATACAGTAGTCTTGACGTTGCCGAACAGCTCATGAGCCGAGTTGCTCACCTGGATGGCCTGGTACTGGATCCACGCTATGCCTCCAATCATCAGGCCGCCGAACATGGCGGGGATCCTCGCGAACTTAAGGACCAGCTTGGGGAGGAGGCGGGCGAAGGAGGCATTCCGAACAATGACAGCATTGTGATAGGCATTGGCTGGAAATCGAAGTGACGGGCGGATGCCGCGGGCAGCCTCAGTTCGCTGGAGTCCGCCTGTGGGCAGGGGATGATATTGACGGATGGTGCGCAGAGTGACGCGTCGAGCGAGGGGGGCAAAAGCTGCCCCAGCAGCACGAAGCTGTGCGCTCATGGTGAAGCAGCGAGTCGGTTGCTACTTGTCATGCGGCCCAGAAAACATTGAAACTGGCGGTGGTCGATGAGGAAGGATATATGCCTGGTCGTCGGATAATAGGCTCGTGTTGCTGGTCGCAGGTGCGGCTGCTTCCTTTGGAGATTCCGTCGTCAGTGCCACGGTTTGGCGAAGCAAAGGTGGAGGAGCGATTAGAGCCTCGAAAACCCCCGCCCAAAAACTCGGGTACGACATGGGGCGCGCCACATTCCTCTAAACATCTGATCTCAACTTGACGGCTATCAAATCGGATAACATGCATTTATTAGCCCCTGACATAACCGGCTCAGTTGAACAACAATGATTTAATTCCAAATTGATGACTTTCCTCTCTTTTCACAGTTACAATAGCTAATATCAGGTTTCCCCAAATCCTGGCCGTTCTGGTTAACATTTAGACTGTTGAGTACTCTGTACCCAGGTCAGTGTGGAGTTAACGAGCTTCAGACACTGAAAGAAGCCACTGAGAAAGCGCCCAATTTCAGACACTGCAATGCGTCACAAAGATGCAACAGCCCCAGAGGAGTCCACCAAAATAGCCGGGATATGTCCGTATGGAATCCCATACTACCATGGGCGAAAGCATTGCTCAATTCACAAAGGAAACTCGCCGATTATGCACGCCGATTGTGTCAGCCATGCACTAACCCTGGGATGGATATGGAAGCCAGGGTTATGTACTGGAGGTACCTTGCGCGACTTCGGTATTTTGTTGCTTGACGTAGCGATGGGAAGAATAACAGCTGAAAGAGACAGGCAGTTGAAGGCTCGTCATTTTGGCTTACTTCTGCATTATCCCGCATCGTGCATGCAAATTTTAGAGTCAGCGCCGTTGAAACGTGGCTTCGAGAGCCTAGAAGCACTGGGAGATACTTGATGCTGCACTAAAACATGCAAAATTGAGCGTTTGTTCGCCATTCTCAGGGCGGATCGCATCAGCCCTGTGGTCCCGGGAACCTGCCTCCAGACTGTGCCCATCCGCTGTCGGCCACCTCAAATAAGTTGACGTTGGCGCCAGACCATTCCCGTTCTCTTGCAGATGTTGGTTGCATGAGCTATCTTTCTAGCATCAATTTTTGTCGTGTGCCCAACCGACGGTATTGCGTGGCGCGTTTTCTTTGTGACAAACTAGAAGTCTCTAGTCCATTACATACCTAGAACGTTCCACTTAGGTTGTTTGGTGTCGCGAGCGCCCTCACCTGCTCAACAGAACCCTGAATTCAGGTGTCCATCCGCCACCTGCAAGTCGCCCACGGTTAAACCATGTGCCGGTTCCTGGTAAGCAAACACCAACTTCTGGCGCTTCAGCATCTACAAGTTACAGCTAACACGGTGCTTCGCCAAGGTCTACAAGGGGAGCGACGAGATCCTCCTCTCGAAGCTAATTCTCGACCCGACGCACTCGATCCTTAAGCAGTCGTTTGATTCCCGCCTCCGGCTGGTGAGTGCTCTCCTCTTTACTTCCCCGTTTCCCCGCCAGCCAGTCTCCTCAACCAGCTGGGATATGTTGGGCTGCTTTGCGGAGCGGGAACACTGTAACTCACACATGGTGGTACGGCATTGCTAGGACACGCGCCGCGGCCAAAACAATGCAGATGGCTTCGGCATCGGCTTCTACACGGACCCCAAGCTGGGCGCCGCCCC